CTGTCGATTGGCTCTTCTTCGTCGCGGCGTATGTCAACCTGTTGGTACCTGCAACTTTTTACTCCCTCCGAGGTTAAACTTAACCTCAAGAAAAAGTCCATCATGACTGAATATATCCCCCGGTTTTTCAGATTCATCAGAATTTTAGAATCGGGGCGCTGACATACTGAAAATGATGGATAAGTCTGGTTTTATTTAGACAGACTATCCTCGATATTAACATGACTGGCCTGAATATTCTCATGACTGAATAACCATGACTTGACTCTCACATGACTGGATCATCTTTGTTCGAACTCTGAACTGTCCCGAGACAACTTAAATAGTCGCTTCGGGTTTGAAAACGTGATATTTACTGACTTACTTGACTTGTTAAGGTGCGACTTCAAGTTTCCAGGTAAATTTGGGCTAATGGTCTGTATATCAGACCGCCACATTTAACCCGGCTGAACAACTATTATACGTCGACCTTACATCATGAACATAAACTGTAAATCGTGAACATGAATTTATTACTCTGTACTATATAGGGCTGCTCCAGTATCAACTGGTCCCGCAAGTACAAAGTAATTAGCTGATCTTGATCTCTGAAAGTCATAACTTAAAATATCATGACTGATAAAACATGTGACATGACTGACTTGAAAGGTTGTTATTACGTGAAATCATACTGCTCCGGTTTCAGCTTCAAGCCTCCATGGTATACCCGGCTGAATGGCTATTATTTCAAGCCTCCATGGTAACCCGGACTATTGACTCTTATACACTGGAAACCGTTACCTCAACAATGACTTGAGAATTATAACAACCTTTAATATGAAAATTCTTGCCTTGAACATGATTTACTGATCTGACTTAGGAAATTTGAGTCTATTCCTCGAATTAAATCAAGGAATTTCTCCCTGAAGGCTGCCAATTGATTAACAAAATGGCAGTTCTCGATAAAAATATCTGAGAAACATGATTATTAAGATTTGTTTAGCACAAATGCTTACAAATCTCCTGACCAATTGCTAACTTGACTTGAATAAATCTAGAATTGAATCTAGAGTTCTTAAACTTAATCCCTTTCTAAGGTTCTAAATTCACTCGTCCACGATACGGGGATCTCCCTACCCCGAGAACTTTTCAGCGTGGTAGTCGGGGAACTGGGCGACTACAGTAGCCTGAGTAGGCGACTGATGATCGGGTTCCCTACGTGGCGGCATCTGAACATTGAGAAAGTTTAACATTATTGAATACATGATAACATTTCTGACTGATTACTTAGGCACACAAATCTCTTGACGAGTTGCCAAAAATGGCCGATAAATACTGACGTGAATCCTGAAGAACTCTAGAGTCATATAGGAAGATCCTAATGTCTAGAGTCATATCTGAAAGTCCTGAATTCTAGAGTCATGTCCGAACTCTAAAGTCTGAACCTGATTCGAGCATCTTAACTAAAGTCCTGATCCTTAATTCTGAGCATAGACAAAGTAATATGTTTATAACTGAAAACGTAAATCAGCACGCACCTGTCGTCGGCGGGGCGTGAGCATGACGGTTCAGGTGTTTCTGAAAAAAATTTCTGACTGAAAACTTTTCAGAGACGCAGAAACGTGCTCTGATACCAATTGTAACACCCCGATTTATCGTAAAATCAGAGTGCGAAAATTTCGCAAAGTTATTTAAAAATAAAGCCTTTTTACTTTGCGAAAACTAATTCGGGGTGCTACCTTAAAATCGTGACTTAATTTGGAAAACCGTTATTTAATTTTTAAGAAAATCATCCGGTTACTGAAAGCATAAAGCTTTCCAAAGTTCGTCAAAATATAAGTACGTCAAAAGTCATCATCAGCGGAAACGTAAATCGTCAATATACATAACATATACAGTCAAAACATAAATGTCCTGAAGCCTCCGTCAGCTCATGCTCCCGGCCCGACGTCCTGACCTGAAAAACATGATAAAAGTGGGAAATGAGCACTATGGCACTGTGCTCCGTGGAAACTCATACTAATGTAAACATTGAAAATAATAACAACATCATGATATCAGTATATACATAACCTCAACCTCAAGCCGGTAATAACATGAACATGAATCTGAAATCGTCACGCAAACGTGACCCTGACCGTTACCTCATCTGCTGGCAAAAACTAATGTCGGACACCATGTGCACACTCTAGTGGGCAGACTAGGGCCACTAGAACCCAGAATGGACCGGCGACCATTCCGAGCGGATACCTCACATGAAATACATACCTCAAGCATGGTACTGTAATTATAATCAATGTAGTACGTAGTCTGAGTCCCCACCTGAACTGCTGAACTGAACGGTAGTGCTGATGCCTGATCAAACTGAAAATAATATAAACAATTACTAATGACTATGCTCAGACTGTTAACTTAACAGATTAATTTCGTTAAGATGCTCTACTGAACTTAACATGATATTTAGACTTAACCAGAATAATCGGAACTGAACTGACATGAACTGATTGGACATGAATTTACTGAACTGAAATAATCCCAGAAATTTAACTAAAAATATCATTAATATCATGAACCGGGCTGAACACTTAATATTTGAATCAAACCGATTTAAAAAGGGGGCTGAACCGATCCAGCCGGTCCAAACCGGTCTAGACCGGACTGCGGATCGACTGGACCGGCAGTCAGCTCGGCTCGGCCAGCAGCCTGCTGAGGCTGCGCACACTGGCGCTGCCCGGCCTGGCCGCGGC